ATCAACGGTCTGAATTTTGGCAAAACACTTTGTAACTCAACTTTTACAACTCAACTTTGTACAAATAACTTTATTGATTTTAAAAACTGTTTAAAATCAATGATGTGAATATTGACAAAACCTTTGTCCCTCTCCACTCTCTCACCGCAACCACGATACTCCCCACCATCTTTGAAAAAATAAAAAAAAAATCATGTCCAAGCCACCACAGAATTTATAAACGATCCGCATCATTGTCATCACCATCACCACCACCACCATCCACCTCCACCACCATTAAAAATCACACATCATCACCATAAAAGCAACACCCCAAACTTGATCTCGCCTACCACCATATTGGAGATTCATTCTTCCTTTTACTCTATTTTTCGCAGTCGAATAGGACAAAAATTAGCCCCAAACCTGTTGTTGAAGATGAACAGCGGGAAACACCAGTTGAACATGCGGTAGCGAACGTGGTGTGATCTGAAACCAGAATTTTTTATATATATATTAAAGGTGTAGATGGTTGCAATGGTGTTGGTTTTGTGATAGTTCATGACAAGTGGTGACTAGTTTTTGTCGTGAGGTGGATTGAAGTAATGCATTGATTAATAAGTCACAACACAAAAAATTACACATTATAAGAACAGTATATGTATTAAAATTGTGCTATGAAATAAAAATTTTGTAGACTAATATGATTTAAACTTTGCTAACAAGATGTTTTGACTTTTTCAACAAGTGTTTCTATTTGCATTAATCATCCAAATTACTTATAATTGTACTGGAAAAAAAGATTTATAAGCAATGGTAGGCTAAAATTTTAATTGTATTGGACTAGACAAAATAAGATTTTAATTTCATTTTCTCAATAATTCTATTCAATTTCATATAACAAACATACTATTATTGTTTATTTCACGAGTTGTACATTTTGAATGTATGCTAAACATTTGTTGCAGATACTTTTTTCGAACAATAAAATATAGAACGTAAAAAAATTTATCGACCAAGACTCATAACAACACGATGTACTAAAGCTTGTCCGTCGATAATTGTTGTGATTGCGATCTCTTTGAACAATCACTCTCAAAATATAACCATCGAATCACTTATATAGCAATCATAAGCGATTTTCAGAATCTCAAATTTTACTCCAAAATTAGGGGAGGACAAAACCTGATCCAACCCGTCAAACTGGTCGAACTGAAGCGACCCAACCGGGTTGGGTCGATTTTTTGTCATTTTTTAGGTGGGTTCAATTTGTGGGCAAGTTAACACATCAAACCCGATATAACCCACCCAACCCGCCTAGCCTAGTTAAAAAATAATAATTCAAGTAAAATCCAGATTTATACGAAGCAACTCAGCGGTCAGCAAGCCTCCAGCCCTAATTTCCATTTCTCTCTTGCTCTCTCGATCTAGACCTCAAATCGTCGCCACCGTCGATCTTCCTTTTAACTTGCCAACGTCGATCATCACTTTTAACTTGCCAACGCTAGTCACCGTTTAAGTCACCACTAAATCGTCCTTCAAATATGGTTCTATTGCATGTGGTGAAAGTGTAGTTTCTATTTTCTTTGCCAAGTCTCTAATTGATAATCAAGAAAGAAGAGACTTTCTAGTTTCTAGACCTCAAAGTTGTTGTTTGTTGAGGTCGTTCCCACCATACCCAAAACTAGCAATTCTGGGCTAAAATAATCTCTAGAGAAATGGGTTCCTATAATTCATGTGTGATCCCATGATTGGCTGGATCAAATTTTAGGTTCTGCGGACATTAGTTTCTCAATTGAATTTTATCTATGCAGGTAGCAAAGCCGTCTATTTCAGGTTCGGTGGCTGATTTTAGTGCAGTTTTTCTTCAGTGTTTGGCCAATCAAGTTTCCATCAGGTAGACATCTACACAGTTTAATTATCTGATTTAAATATTGTTTTTCTTCACTTGATGTGTCTTATTTTAAATTAAATTTAGTTCTTCTTCTTCTGCAGCCTCCAACAATTTTTGCTTCTACCAACAGTTCTGTCCCAGCATTTTAATGAAATGTGCAATCGTTTTTGGATAATTATTTTGATGGATATTTGGTTGATTGTACTATTTTAATTTTCAAATTTATTGACATTGGATGACTATATTAATGTCGCTTTAGATCCAAAAATTGGATGATTTTAATCTTTGTATGACAAGTAGTCCCGAACCGACCAACCCAACCTGACGACACATGATTGGGTTGGATGAATTTCGAATAAACAGACAATGTTGGGGGTAAAAACGAACTCAACTCAACCCAACCCACGCCCACCCATATCCAAAATAATATTTGATCAAAATAATTTTTTAGGATCAATTTCCTAAATTACAAATTTCTTTACCATTTTCCTGAAAATGAGATGTATATATGGCCCAAAAAATAAATTACAATATTAATTCCAAATTAATTAAAAAAACTAAAACTCTTGGTTTTATTATTCCAAGTGGAAGAAATTCGGTCGTTGATGTGAAGTGTGGAAAAGTCAAAAATTGTAGACTACCGATGGATGCGCTCAACGTGTCAATTATGTAATGTATTATGTAAATGATTATATACTTGTAACATAGTCTCAAAGACCAGATTTCTTCCACTTGGAATAATAAGTTAGAATTTAACTAAAAAATGCCGTGATTTTTATGAGTTCAATAAATCATGATTTGACCAAAAGCGCAAGTTCCAATCATAAATTTTTAAATATTCACATGAAATATGATTTGAACTGTCGACTTTCCACATAAATTTCATGCTTTTTACCACTCGATCAACTATCCAGAATTAACCCCTATTTGACAACCATTAAAATGAGATTTTTTTTTTTTTTTTTGGAAAAAGTAAGTTTTAGAATAGTGAATTTTTTTTATTTTTTATTTAGGGTATGTTTGATAGATAATATTGAAGAAAGAATGTATTTTAAATAGTGATATGATGAGAAATATGTTGTTAAAAAGTAAGAAAAAAATTATTGATGTGATGGAAAATATTATTTTATTGAAAAATGTGTGGTTGAAAATGAGTTTTGAAAAAAATGTATTTTCCAAAAATGTGTGTCAAACAAGGGCTTAAAAATAGAAAAAAGATTTCAGTTTACGTTTAAAATAATATAGAACCTGTCTGGCAGAAATTTTAATCAGATTTTTAGCAAAAATCTGACTGTTGGAGCCGCAATAATTGACTGCATTTTCAAAATTTTGCTTGGTTTGGTCAAAATCCTTCCTTTATAACGGTAAGATTTTTACTCAAAATTTGTTAAAAATTTATCCCAGACAGGTTCATAAGAATGTGTGATTGAAAGTAAGTTTAACAAAAAAAAAAAAAATTGTTTTAATGGTTATCTAACATTGAATGGTTAACAATTCCATGTTTTTAAATTTAAATTTTTACTTAGTCTTTGTATGGTGGGGATTAAATTAAATTTTTAGTAGATTTTAATAAAAGTTGATGAAATATGTAGTTTAAAAGTTGTGAATTTTATGAAAGATGTGGTTAAAGTCAATTATTAACTTTGACTTACGCCCCTATGCAGCCGCGGCAAATTATGGTGGACAGCGAGCGCAGCAGATGCAAAATGGTAGAGGAGGACAGACAGCCTTCATCCACTGCTTCGGGGCTGAAAATGGCAGAGTAGCTGCTTTACAAATCTTCCCTCACGTCACCATGTTTGTTCTGCTACTTAAGAATTGAGAGCCTGAAGCAAACCGACATTGAACAACTCTTTCATGGGCCTGTAGGAATGTTTAAAACAATTGGGTGAAACTGAACGTTGGTGCTGATGTGAGGGTGTGTACGGAGTTTTATGGGGTTGGTGGTGTGCCAAAAGGAAAAGGAGCATGTGCTGCTTGGTGCTTTGTCTCTTCGTTAATGTTGCTGAATGTTTTACGATCTGGGAAGGCCTCAAGTTTGCCAAGTCACATGCTTGAGTCAGACTCGTGTAATATTATTACGGTGGTAAGAGGGTCGTCCATCCATGCTCACGAGCGTATGCTTCTACTGAATATCAGTTCTCTTCTATTATTCTTTCTTTAGAATGTTGTTTTGTTAGGCACGAGGCAAACAGTTGAAGAACTGATTTGGCAGATATTATTGAATAAAATTTCATTTTAGCTTTAAAAAAAATGGAGAGTGGATAATATTGTTTTATTACTCAAATTCAGTTCGATGGACATATTTTTCATGTATGTTAGCAAGCAGGTTAACAAGAGACACGTATGCATTACCAAAGGAACCGCAATTTTCATCAAATGTTCACTTGGGTAGCGGCTGGTCGTGAATGTGAAAGACATTTGATTACTCTGCTATCTTGTAGATGTATTGAAATAGAAACTAATGTGAGACAATCCTATTACAAACATGAATATGTTAGAAGAGAAACTTATGTTGGACAATTCTATTACAAATAGGATACAATTTTTTTATTTTATTTTATTTTATTTTACTCCTTTTTAGGATTTTTATTTTTTTAATCATTAGGATAAGAGATTATTTTACCTAAATAAACAAATGCTTTGTATACTTTTCAACACATATATCCTTTTTTTCACTATAATTAAATTATTCTTACAAACTCTTCGAGTTTTTAATTTTCTTCTTATTTTCGAGAAATCAATTTCGTTTTCATACCAAAAACATATGCATATATTATGAGGAATCACAAGCTTCATCCAATGTTGACATAGGTAGCGGCTAATCGTGAATGCAAGACATTTATTTGCTTTGATATCTCAGTGAAAGTAATACAAGTGAAACGAATGCTAATACACGAACGATCACAATCTTCACGCAATAGGCACATTGTAGATTATTTGCTAGAAAAATGCTAGAGGTACATTACCTATGACATAATGGTTCACATAATGTAGATGTGGCAGTCGTCCACTTGTTGATGTGTAAGTATAAAATTTGAATTAAAGGTTGGATCAACTGCCACGTATAATTATGTGAACCATTGTGTGAATGGTGATGTACCGCTAGCATTATTCTATTTGCTATCTATATGTACCTTTTCCTCCCGAGAACTTCAAGAACAGATTGTGCAGTGCAATAAGAAATAGCCTGAATAGTAACCATTGGATTCACTCCTAAAGCCGTCGGAAAAACACTTGAATCCGCCACAAAAAGCCTCTCCACCTCCCACGTTTCCGCCTTTGAATCCACGGCGGAGCTGCGGGAATCCACCCCCATTCTGCAACTCCCCATCTGATGTGCAGAGCATAATGGTGTTGACAGGTTTTTCACTGGCCTTGAACTTTCCTCTTTTACAAACTCCTCAAATTCTTCGAGACTGGCTTCCTTCACTTTTAACGTCCTCCCACGTCCGTGATGAGTTCCAATTTCTTCAGCTCCTGCAGCTGCTAGTATCCTCAGAACCCTTTCCAGCCCTTTCTTTAAGTTCTCTTCATCTGCATTATCCAGTTTGTAACTTATTGATGAAGGATTAGTTACAGTGCCTGATCCCTTGTCCCTTGCCAATGCAAATATATGACTAGTCCTGGAGAAATTGCTCATTTTCGTTTTGAATTCTAGGCCAGAAGACCATGGAAATAGCGCAGCGAACATGCCAGGGTGCAATGACGGAGTTTGGATGATGGCGTTATAGCTGGAGTCTTCAGGGTTTACAGTAAGTTTTGACATTGCTGTCACTATCCCTCCTTCATAGCTCTTCTTATCTGCCTCTGGCCATATTACATCAGATGAAGGTGTATCTGGAAAATAGCCCCATCCCATTATTACTGGATGGACATGCAAATTTTTACCTGTTCAAGATAAAAATGCAAATCAATAAATCCCCAGGATATTTTAGACGAGTGGTTCAACACGGCTTCAAGGATTTTGAATCGAAGATTAAGAAGTTCTTAACAAAAAAATGAATCGTTTCAACATATATATTAAGCTATTAGACAAGGTTTTTTAAAGTTACCTATGTTTGGATTCTTCAATCCACTTCTTTTTAGCAGCGCAGGAGTACAAAGAGCACCACATGCAATTACAGTCACTTCTGACTCGACAAAACCAATTTCTTTCACTCCTTGACGCTGAAATTCAAAAGCAACACCAACAGCACTGCTTCTTCTGTCTGTAATTTTGTCGTTCCTTCTGTGCAAAACTTGAATAGCTTCACATTCAGGAAGAATTGCACCATTACCAGAATCAACCAAATCCACCAACCATGTTTCTGTTGTGCCTTTCTTTTTCCCATCTTTGCAGCCAAGGCAGCACCATCCACAATAATGATCGGAAGTCGAATTTCGAGGGATATTTTCCACCGGAAAACCCAATTTCTGGCACCCTTTTCGCAAGATCATGTTGTTGAATCCTTCTTCTTCAACTTCAGACTGAACTCCCATTTTCTGGCAGACAATATCCAGGGCTTCTTGATATAACTTGCTCTCAAATAGTTCTAAATTGTAGTTTTCACTCCATTCCTTCAGAATATGTGCTGGAGTACGGATTGAGGCCGACCAGTTTATGGTGGAGCCGCCACCTACTGTGGATCCTGCAAGCAGAAGGACATCCATATCTTCTGTTCCTAAAATCCCATGACCGAGGTACATTTGATCCATTGCTTGTCCTTCAAGAAGTGTAAGGTCTTTTTTCGAAAAATAGCTTCCTTTTTCCAGGACAAGTACTTTGTAACCGGCTTTCGCAAGAACACCGGCTATAACTCCACCACCAGAGCCAGAACCAACAACTATTGCATCACACTTGATAACAAAAGATGAATTGAATGATTTTATTTTTGGGTTTTTGGAATGAGAGGTGGAAACAGGAAACCCTAATTTCTCTAGTTTATCAAAGATTATTTGCTTTGGTTGGTTTAGATTCATTATGCCCTTGTAAAGCGGTTCAAACAGATCATCTTTACTCGAATCTTCTTGTTCTTGGTGCCCTTCTGATCTTTGATTTGGAATTTTTTCTACTTTTTTGGGACTGAATTTTTGCTTTCCGAAATTTGGATCTGGTCCGCAGTATCCTATGGCTTTCCATGAAACATTTTCTTCTTTCTCATTCACCTGTGAAAATTATCAAACAGGTAGCTTAAAGAATTATTTTTTCGAGTCAGGATTACGACTATGTTTGGTACGAATTATCATTTTCAACAGTAAATCAATTCTCATTTTCAACCACACATTATCTAATAAAATAATATTTTCTATCACATCAATAATCTTATCTTCTTTTTCAACCACACATTTCCCATCATATCACTATTCAAAATCAATTCTTCTCCCAAAAAATCCCTACCAAACACACACTACATTGAGTTGAACAATAAAAAGAAATTGAAGTGTGAAACACTGTTGTAATTAACATTTGAGAGCTAGACATTCAATTTTCAACAATACACTTTATACTAGACATGCACATTTGTATTTAGTATAAAGACTCCATCGTCCTCCTATGCATGAGAGACACAAGTCTTGGACTATACAACTCTAATTCTATTGTTTTATAGTTTGGGTTGTTGAGGTCATAAAGTAACATCGCAATTTTTTTTTTCTCACATACAATTTATGTGCCAAGAGATAGCTATTTATCGTTGCTTCCCTTGGCACCCATCTTGTGAATATGAGCATGTTCGGATGTGCTTAAACCGAAGTTATTTAATTTGATCTAATATGAACCATTACTTTTTTAATAAAGAAAACTCACTTTTTTATGAAGTATTTACTTTCAAAAAACAATGAAACCATTTGTACGGAAATATTTCACCTGTAAAAAAGCCAGAATACTCACATGGGGGTGGGCCCCATGTGAATAAAATATTATTATAAAAAATGGAGCCCACCCCCCATTTGTGTGTTATGTTATTTTTACAGAATTTTTTTTTCCTATAACAGTAGCATTGTTCTTAAAAAAACAACTTTTAAATGGAAACAAACATATTATAATATAAATTTCTAATGATTGAAGAATATTACCAACATACACCTAACCTTGTCAATGTTGATAATACTAGACCATAGTCACGAATTCATGCAAGAGAAGTGGGAATTCAAGATCTCACATTAATTACCAAGCTCCAACGTACACCTACCAAAATCATCTAGTCTTTAACAAGTTGGTCAAGACACATCATAATCATGGCTAGCTGTCTATACATATAGTATCGACATTCCATGATTTTTCATAGTATTGTCTAATGATTCTAATCGACTCTACTCGACATGTCAACTCTTGAAAAGAAAATCAAGAAGGACCACAACAAAACATGTTAGATATTCAATTGAATTAATTAGATAGGTTGACACGAAAGGTTGGGCTTTAATCTCATTATTTGGAAAAAAACAAAAAAACCTTTTTGTTGTCTCCTTTGATATATCAATATACAATTAGTTTAATTTAGAGAATATTTTTGATTGAGAGTTTTGGGACAATAAAAAATAAAATACAATATTGTCCATTTTTATTCTAATATTATCTAATATTGGGTATTAAATATGCACTAATGCAAAAGAAAAAAAAAATCGAACCAAAATTAAGAATTTTTTTACGGACATATCAAAATCATTATTCTTATATCGGAAAGTTTTTACACTTGTACAAATAATTTAATATAGCTAAATCACACCACATTTTTCATAAAAATGCACCGCATTTTAATTGTATGATATGTCCATAATATTTATATATTATCATACTCGTGTTCCCAACTTTTTCTCATATCCTTCTTATCCTCGATATTGTATTAATTAGCACATCTTATCCTCGATAATATTTTCATCCATAAATTCCACTGAGATTGAGTAAAAAGACTTATTTGTCTCTCATATTTTCAAATAAGCAAAAATGACAATAAATATTAATTTGCGATTAAATATTTATTCCTCATTTTAAAATATGTTAAAATAATTTGGACGAAAACCTTCACCAGAGACAATATGTGCTAAATAATGAACGGATAATGATTAAAATGCAATGAAAAATCAAAGACATAAATATGATAATGAATAAATATTAAAGATATTTAATAAAATTAAAATATGGTACAATTATAAAAAATGTAGTGCCAATTATTGAAATTAAGGAATGACCATAAATTTCTGGATATTTTTCCTTTTCTAGTTTGAATTGAATTAACTGCACCACCTACTTGATGAAGCACATTTTTAATTACTCATAAAGGAGGGGGACCTCAATCACAACTGCCTAGTAGCAAAAAAATTAATGAGTATCATAAAAAATAAAAAAATTGAAAAATATTATGCATAAATGGAAAGATGAAATTATGTAAAACAACGTCAATAAATTTGGGAAATACAAAAATTTTGAAGTTTGTAATTACGTCGAAAAAATTTGTGTGATGCGCGTCAAATTCACATTTACATGCTCACTCGACAAAGAGTTTCGAGTACATAAATATTAAATATTTCCATAAAACATGACATAAACTAAAGGCCGAATGAAATCTCTTTTTTTGCTGGCGAACCTGTTTACGTGTAATAAATATCAAAGCTACGTTAACATGCTCACCTAACAAATTTGTTAAGAGTGCATAAAGTTGAAATCAAGTCGAGTTTTGAACACAACATGCATGAACAAAGAAAATTCGAGTAAAGTGAAAAATAAGTCAAGCGTAGTGTGTCAAATACAGGCATATGTACGTACGAGAGATACCTGAGTGAAAAACACGAGTAAAGTGAATATTTTTGCTGCGGCGAAGAGAAGCCTCAAGAGAGAAATATAACTGCGAGACCATGACAGAAGAATTTGCTCTCTTTTCTGTAATGAAATCTGTGAAAATCTCAGGAAATATGGAAAATGGCTTGATAAACTTAATCTTCCACATAGTATAAATGTTCCTATCCATGTTGACAGTGCCCATAGTGCTAATCTGCTCAGGTAAATTTTAGGGTGTTGTAATTTTTCCTTCAGCATCACACTAACCTGCAAAAATTAATTCAGTTAAAAATTAAAAAAAAAATCTTATAAAATATTATAAATTGAAGTAGGAAATGCATTCTTTAAAACTATATTTAAATAAATAAATATATTTTCTTTGTGATGGTTAAAAATTTTAAATTTTAGGATGAGATGTTCAACACGAGTCTTAAAGGATCACTACTTATTTATGGAAATTCCATACATTTCGCCTTTGATGAAAGAATTATTTCAACCTGCACGTGGAGAGATATGTTGCGAACATATATTCGTTTAACTGTACTTGAAAGTTACTTTCTTAGAATTAAAGTATCGTAAAGGTAGTTTTGTTTGCGATTTGTTCTTAAACGTAACTTTCTTGGAAAGCATCAAAAAGTGAGTTTTGTTCATAGAGAAATAAGCACACTGCAAATCCTGATTTAAATAATAACTTAAAGGTAAGTTAAGTCACTTTTAAGCTCGACCCAAAATGCTTGAAGGCATTTAAGGATGTAAAAGAAAAGACAAATATATTTACCGGGCGTGGAGTTCCGGCCATGGAAGCAGAGGTCTCGTAGAATTTAATGGCGGAAAGATCATCAACGGGGAGTTGAGAAACATCAATGGAGGGCAAAAAGGTGTCACATAAAGCAATAAGCGCCTCCATTTGACCAGCTGAAAAGGTGCTCGATCCAACTTTTTTCCCTTTTTCAACACTGCCTTTTGTCTCCATATTTTGTTTTCTCTGTTGCGAGAGAGAAGAGAGAGAGAGAGCAGTGTTTTAATGTGTAGTGACTAGAATGCTATGTAATGCCGTGTATGCTATGTGCTTCACATAAGTAATGCTTCACAAAGGGGGTGGATTACTTGCTTCACATGTATTAGATATACCTCTCTTGTAGAGATGATGATTATGTTAAAAGGATAAAATCTCATATCGAATAAAGATGAAAATATAGATCAATTTATGAGAGTTTGAACTACTCTTCCTAATGAGGTTGACGTTTTAAGATGAAATCAGAATTCTTAACATGGTATCGGAACTCCGTTAAGCTCCAACGAGCGATTCGAATCGATCCTATTAAGACTTAAAAAAAAAAAAAAATCAGCACACGAATTTTAGGAATTGTCTGCTTAAGGGATAAAATCTCACATTAAATAAAGATGAAAACATAAACCAATTTATAATAGTTTGGTCTACTCATCTTAACAAAGTTGACATTTTAAGATGAAACCTCAAATCTTAACATGGTATGCGGGGGCATGTTAAGGGATAAAATTTCACATCGAATAAAGATGAAAATATAGACCAATTTATAAGAGTTTGGACTACTTCTCTTAACAATGTTGACATTTTAAGATGAAATCTCAAATTTTAACGTGGTATTAGAGCCCGTTAAACTCCAACGAGCAATTTGATCCTATTAAGGCCCAAAAAAATTGAACACACGAATTTCAAAATTGGTCTGCTCAAGGGAGCCACCATCTTGAGGGGGCTTGTTAAATGATAAAATCCTATTCCAATAAAGATGAAAATATAGATTAACTTTTAAGAGTTTTAGCTACCTCTTAATAAGGTTGACATTTTAAAATGGAACCCCAAATCTTAACAAATTACAGCCCAACAACAATGCAATATTTTGCACATTTTGGGTGTGCTTATAACTCTATATAACAGGACACATGACTTTTTGTAGTTCAAAATAAACAAAGATTAATGTTATCGAACACCTGTGTTCAGATAAGTACTCTAGACGTGTAACATAATAGGACTAATTAAAACCCTGTTGGATCTGGGATTTTAAAATTTCATTTTTCTCAAAGCCAATTTCAACAATACATTTTTATGGGACCAATAACTGCTATTAATTTTTCAATTATACGTTTAATCAACTTTTATCAAAATCTATTAAAATTTTATTTATTAACCATATCAAACATGGACTAAATAATTATATCTAGCACCGCTAGTGCTAAAAGGTGATATTTGATGATAGGTCCAAAAATATATAGGAATATAGGATCTATTTAATTAAGCATATAATTTAGCGTCCTTAATGTCACCTAGATAGCGTTACACCTAATTAAATGAGCCTTTATAAATAGATGATTTTCAATTGACATGATATTCAAGTCTAATGAATTGATAATCAAATCTGAAATTGTTCTCCGCTGAGTTCTATTTATATTTCAATATTTCCGTCCAGGAAAATAGGATAGAGTGAAGGAAAAGAAAATCTACTATTCTAAAAATTGAAACATAACCGCTGAGTATGTCTAACGGAGTCTTTACATTTAGAGTGTATTTGGTAGGGATTTTGGGAGAAGAATTGATTTTTAAATAGTGATATGATGGGAAATGTGTGGTTGAAAAAGAAGAAAAAAGTATTGATGTGATGGAAAATATTATTTTATTGAAAAATGTGTGGTTGAAAATGAGAATTTATTTACTGTAGAAAATGATATAGACCAATTTATAAGAGTTTGGTCTACTCATCTTAACAAAGTTAACATTTTAAGATGAAATCTCAAATCTTTCATCTTAAAATGGTATGCGGGGGCATGTTAAGGGATAAAATTCCACATCGAATAAAGATGAAAATATATACCAATTTATAAGAGTTTGGACTACTTCTTTTAACAATGTTGACATTTTAAGATGAAATCTCAAATCTTAACGTGATATCAGAGCCCGTTAAACTCTAACGAGCAATTTGATCCTATTAAGGCCCAAAAAAATTGAGCACACGAATTTCAAAATTGGTCTGCTCAAGGGAGCTACCATCTTGAGGGGACTTGTTAAATGATAAAATCCTATTCCGATAAAGATGAAAATATAGATTAACTTTTAACAGTTTCAGCTACCTCTTAATAAGGTTGCCATTTTAAAATGGAACCCCAAATCTTAACGAATTACAGCCCAACAACAATGCAATATTTTGCACATTTTGGGTGTGCTTATAACTCTATATAACGGGACACATGCCTTTTTGTAGTTCAAAATAAACAAAGATTAATGTTATCGAACACCTGTGTTCAGATAAGTACTCTAGACGCGTAACATAATAGGACTAATTAAAACCCTGTTGGATCTGGGATTTTAAAATTTCATTTTTCTCAAAGTCAATTTCAACAATACATTTTTATGGGACCAATAACTGCTATTAATTTTTCAATTATACGTTTAATCAATTTTTATCAAAATCTATTAAAATTTTATTTATTAACCATATCAAACATGGACTAAATAATTATATCTAGCACCGCCAGTGCTAAAAGGTGATATTTGATGATAGGTCCAAAAATATATAGGAATATAGGATCTATTTAATTAAGCATATAATTTAGTGTCCTTAATGTCACCTAGATAGCGTTACACCTAATTAAATGAGCCTTTATAAATAGATGATTTTCAATTGACATGATATTCAAGTCTAATGAATTGACAATCAAATCTGAAATTGTTCTCCGCTGAGTTCTATTTATATTTCAATATTTCCGTCCAGGAAAATAGGATAGAGTGAAGGAAAAGAAAATCTACTATTTTAAAAATTGAAACATAACCGCTGAGTATGTCTAACAGAGTCTTTACATTTAGAGTATATTTGGTAGGGATTTTGGGAGAAGAATTGATTTTTAAATAGTGATATGATGGGAAATGTGTGGTTGAAAAAGAAGAAAAAATTATTGATGCGATGAAAAATATTATTTTATTGAAAAATGTGTGGTTGAAAATGAGTAGAAGAATGAGAATGAAAAAATAATGTGGGTCAAACAGGGGCTTAGTAAAGAATAAAGTAAACTAAAAATTCAAAATCAAATTCAAAATCCACAATTAATTTTTAATCCATCTTAATTAAACATATTAGGGCTTTAAACAGTCATGTTCAGCCCGTATAAAACTATATATGTGTTGTTTCACTTCTCAATGGCTAACTCAAAATTTCAAATTTCAAAATCAGGATCAAAACCTCCTCGTCTTGGACATTCAACTGATTCAAGCACAACCTCCACCGCCACAACCC